TAGTACTAGTACCAGTAGTAGCAGTAGTAGCAGTAGTAGCAGCAGTATTACTACTAGTACTACCTACTACTACTACTACTACTACGACGACGACTAATGAAAATAATACTAGTAGTAGCAGCAGCAGCAGCAGCTGGAGTATTTGTAATAGTAGTGGTAGTAGTAGTAGTAGTAGTAGTAGTAGTAGCAGCAGCAGCAGCAGTAGCAGTAGCAGTAGCAGTAGCAGTTAGTAGTAGTAGCAGCAGCAGCAGCAGGATTAGTACTGCTAGTAGTAGTAGTAGTAGTAGTAGTAGTAGTAGCAGCAGCAGAAGCAGTAGTAGCAGAGCGGAAGCTTATAGCAGTAGCAGTGGCTGTGGCAGAGGTCGTCGTAGTAGTCGCAGTTGCGCTTGATTTTCAAGCGCTGCTGGTGCAGTGGTAGCAAGTAGTGGCAGTGGTGGTAGCAGTGGTAGGGGTATCCGTAATGATAATGGTCGTAGTGGTGGTCTAGCGGCAGAAGGAAGAGGACAAACCGTACAGGTGGTTAGCGCATTGCAGCTCCAGACAACATGATGTCTCAAGTTCACGACACCTGTTGTCACAGCCACCACTTGCATTAGCACAAGGCTCAACAACGCAGAGCAGGACTGAAGCAGGGGAGTTTGTTGAGAACCACCTGACTTTCTGGAGCGGGGGAAGCTGGGTCTTTGGGTCAATCGTCGAGGGTGAGAGAACTGTTTCTCGGTGCCTCCACTTGGCTTGTAGAGCTTCGGGAAATTGTTTGCAAGCCGCGGACCTGACGTCAGCCCGTCTGAATAGTCATGGAACAAACGGAACCTGCAGGAGAGCTTCCTGATCCAAGTCACGCTTGGATGCCTTGCAAACGCCCTCGGCTGACCGCTGAGGATGGTTTTTGTCACATCGTGGTGTGAGCTATGCCCGGTATGGCTAGTGCGTGTTTTGACGAGGACTAGGACAGTGACAACGATGCCATGATCGTGTTGGTGGTGGTCATGTCGATCATGGCAGTATCGACATGTCGATGATGCAGGAGAAATTGGCACTCCCATGCCCGAACAAAGCCTACTCTCCAAAGCGGTACTGCTCATGGTCTGTCGCAGTTCAGATTATTCGGACTCTGGGTGGGTTTACTTCTACTAGCTTGACATGCATCTAGACTAATGGCTTTGCCGCGACAGTACACCTGATTCTGAAATGTTCACTGAAGAGAGCAAGCCTCGGGAGAATGCTGCGTCTCCTCACTTGTTCCCAGGTCTCCCAGACGAGCGGGGCAGATGGATTCTGCCCAATGATGGGTCCACGCAGTATCCCTGGATCGCCCTGACATCATCTAGGTTTCAGTTTTTGGACGTGGGAGCGGGGGACCATGTGCAGTCCCTGAGCCACCGCCTCACAGAGTCAGAACAAGACGAAAGCTGACGGTACGCGTCCGGACCCATAGTCCGGGTCGAGAAACCCGACAAATAGAGCCCCAGTCAGCACAAGCCGAGAACTTCCAAAATGCAAAGAGTACAGCACGCGAGGCCAGCCCTCATCCGCCAGCTGGATGTCGACACTGTTCCGAGGGCCACTCCCTCAAGCCAAAGTATTGAGACACTAGGGCACGCAAGGCATGCAAGTTTGAGGTGGGAGAGCGGATGGGTAGACATTAGAGCTGAACATGGTCTCCGACTCTGGAGAACCATCCAGTTTCCTGGAATCAGAGGCGTTGCATCAGGCCCCCTGCTTCGATAACAGAATCGACCCAGCTGGAGTCCTCCAATCATGTCGTGTCCCAGGCCATGCGTCCGCTTACAGGCCCAGTTTCTGCTCGGAAAGCTTGCCTGTTGAAAGCTCGACACGCTCCAAAACACCCTGTTCAAATCTCCCAGGTTCTAAAGCTTGCAGTCCTGAACAGCCCGAGGGCCCCAGAGGGTTTAGGATCCCTTCTGGAAGATTGACATGCAAGGATGCTATGGCCGAAATGGACGGACTGGATTTGAGTCTGAAGCTGAGAGTGTCTTTGTTGTAAGGGGATCGGGTGAAGTGGGGTCAGGCTGTAAGTTTAGGGTTTAGGGTTTTGTGGAGGCACCACCAGTGACGGTTGACAGGACGCACGGTATTGCGGCTTGAGTAGTCTTGTTACCTCATGTTGGACATACTGTTCCTTCTTCGGATGAGAGATTTTGTAACCTTTTGAGAGCACGGGGGCAACTTCAACGATAGAGTCAATGTAGTTGGTTCATGGAAAGACCTCGATACAGCACTACAGCTTGCAATGTTTGCTGCCGCTAAGCAGGCCCAAGCAGGCACTCAAGGCTGATGTATGCGAGGCACTTGGAGCGACGAACTCGCCAAGCTCAGCACAGCACATTAAGAGGCTTGCCTTTCCAAACCAACACACGTCACATGCGAATTCTCTGCATGACAGAGAGAGAGAGAGAGATGAGAGAGAGAGATATGGGCCGTGTTCTGCTTTGGTCTTTCAGTCCTGGCCCAACAGGAATCTCAGACTGGCTTAGAAAGATCATGTGTTCAATGTGTTAGCTACTACATCAAGAGATAAACTGTGCCCCAGAAGACACACAGACACACGCACGTGCGCACGCACATACACACACACATATATATATATATATATATATGTGTGTGTGTGTCTTGATGTTCATCCGGCTTCAAGTTGCTAAACCAGACACACAAAGTAGCCCCTACTGACCGAATTTGTATACAGTGGTGCTGGCGTCAGTGCAGAAAGATCCAGGTCAAGATCCCGGCAAGACCGAAGACACAAATCAGGCCATTGCAATCGCCGAGGTGCGGCTTTGGTGCTTCATTCTTTGTGTGTTGCTTATTCGCACATTCAGAACTTCACGGCTGCCACGATCAGCGGTGTTGTCAACATATCATATCTGGTGATAACTTGTTTTCGTGGACTGGCGACGTTTGCTGCTGTTGTTGCTGTTCATGGTTTGGGAGCTGCTGGTGCATGTGCTCGTGTGTCGCTTGATCGTGATCGTCGCAGTCGTTTGCGTTGTGGTGGTAGCCGCTGTGAGTGTGTCCCGTCATCTGTGCATTATGTTTGTCATGTCGTTTTTTTGTTGTATCCAATTTGTTGTTTTCATGTGTATAAATACATACATATGTGTACACACATACACGCACACACACACACACACATACACATCCGCACGATGCCGGTATGTGTGTGTGTGCGGGGAGGTAGAGTGAGTCCCTTCTTCGGCAGAGAGGAATGCAGGGAGGGAGGGAGGGAGGGAGGGAGGGAGGGAGGGGAGAAAGACAAGGCGGCAGGACGCGTTAATATGTATGTGTGTGTATATATATATATGTATACATATGTATGCATATATATATATATACACACACAGACAGGCTGTACAGATTATACATATACACATACATATGCAATAAGATATACTTGGAGACCGACCAGGTGACATTGAAGACTTGGCATGTGTTGGCCAGGTGATTGCGACCTTTGGCCAAGCTCTGTCCCAGGTATCCAGGCAAGGCTACTGCTTGACTCCGGCTTCTGTCATGCAATGTCTGGGCCCCGAACCATTGGTGGGTTGTTTGAACTAACTTGCGTGCTGAGCTGGACCCGAGGTCCGTGGCGGGCTTGTGATATGGGACAGGGAAGCCAACAACCATCTGCGTTTCCAGAGTCTGACTGCTCAACAAGTGCCCGACAATGGCATCACCACATTGTCAAAGCAAGTCCGATTAAGTTGTTGTTTGGAGTTGGTTAGGCGGCTGTGGTTTGTGCAGTGTGTTGCGAAGGAAGTCTTACTGTTTGGTTCACGGAGAACGACAGAACTTCGCAGACCTGTCGTTCCTCTATACACTTTCACTGCGGACTCTCATGTGCTCGGTGCTTGGAGAATGCTTGTCAATCATGCGAAACAGCGCATTGTCAGACCCCATATGGGCCATATACATTTCAGACTGTATAAAGATGCCTGAGCTCATCATGCTTTCTGCTTTCAGCTGGGCAGGCTCCGTCGTCGCCTGGGCCAAGTCGGAAATGCCAAATGGGAGGAGGTGCAACAGGGCAACAGGGCTCCGCGCACAGCCAAGCCCGGCCCGAAAGGCTTGCAGAAGCATTTCAAGCAAGACCGCGACTATGCCGCATAGCGGTACAAGTGATGAACCTGTTTCCGCCATGTCTGACTCACTGACAGAGAGAGTGCAAAGGAGGCAGAGAGCCGGAGCAGCTGAAGCCAAATTCGAAGTACATTGACTTGTCTGAAGTCTGCTTCAGTTTTGGACTGCAGTTTGTCTGATATTGGTGTGACTCGGGTAAAACTGCCAAACACAAGAATTTGTACAGGGGTCCAAAGCATGTCGAAGGTTTCGAGCAATCCTGGTAGATCGCCCTTTTGCTCTCTAGACAGCCCCTGTGTGTCACCGTCACTATACTTATCTAACCATCCATCTATCTTTCTGTCGATCTATCTATCTCTCTATCTATCTCTCCATCTATCTTTCTATCCATCTATCTATCTATCTATCTATCTATCTATCTAACGATGTATCTATCTATCTGCCTATCTGTCTATCTAACGATGTATCTATCTGTCTGTCTATCTGTCTATGTATCTATCTATCTATCTATCTATCTATCTATCTATCTGCCGATCTATCTATCTATCTGTCTATCTATTGACCTGTCTATCTATCTATCTATCTATCTATCTATCTATCTACCTATCTACCTATCTATCACCTACCTGCCTATCTTTATCTATCCATCTACCTATCCATCCGTCCATCCATCTATCTATCTATCGATCTATCTACCTGTCTGTCTATGTATCCATCTATCCGCCTATCTGTCTAATAAATGCATATGCAAATGCATCGACATATACGTGTACCCATACATGTACATATGCGTATATGCATATATACATATATGCTCATACATACAAACATACACACATACATACATACATACGTACGTACATACATACAAGAATACATACATACATGCACACATGCATACACATGCATACACTTACATACACATACATACATGTACATGCACGTTCATACACATGCATACACATACATACACTTATGTACACATACATATACATACATACATACATACATACATACATACATACATACATACATACATTCCTAGATACGTTCGCACATGTTCTATATCTATGTATGTATATATATATAGACACATATCTATATCTGTACGCTTCTGTAACCTCAACATTTATATATATATATACACACAGGCCTACATCTACATATACATATCCATACATATACATATATATATATATATATACCTATATAGATATATATGCATATTGTATGGACATGCATACACATACATGCATGTACATTCTGCTAGAGATACTATATACTCGATTTACCGTTTCCCTGAATCAGTTGAAGTCGTGGCACAGGAGACGACTCTGGAACAAGCACGAGCCAAGTTGCAAGAGTCGCGCGTGGTGTTGAGCTTCTTGTCGGCATCGCACAGTTAAACAACGATGCCGAAATTCATGCGCATGAGCATTTCACAAGCTTACAAGTAAACACCCTGAGCTGAACTCTGGGGTAATGAGACGGGGCAGCCTCGAATGTTTGAATATTTCTGTAGAGGTATGTGTACATGGTAGAGTGCAATCCCGCACGGGAACATCTCTGGACTTGCACCAAAACGTGCGAACTGACACATAGTTCTGATTGTCGACATTGTACGAACATTTCAAAGTGCCCGCACGTGCATACGCTGTTGGTGTCGTTGACTCCCTCGAGGCCAGAGCCAAGACGAGCTGGACAACCTGAAGGCACCAGCTTCAGGGGCATGACATCTTCATTATAAGGCGGTGATAGCGACAAACTTTACGTTGTGACTTGTACTTGCTTGAAAGCTGCGCGAATTCCTACACACCTATTCTACTTAGAGTGTACGTTCTGTGCGTTTCTGCATCGACTTATACACTGTAGTGTGGATTTCCGGGTGCATGTACGGATTGATTGTGGGGATCACCGCCTATCCCACAGCGTGTATCGCCCGAATAAGCAGGTAGATGTCGGACAGCCAGGTAGCTGCACCAGCCAGTTTCTCGCTTCCCAGCACAGCATCAAAGCTGGGCTGTCGGTTGTCATGTATGTTAGGGAACCATTCACAGCAGGATGCTGCATAGCTGCCAGTGTAGTGTACAGCGCACTGCCACATTCAACTTAGTGACTTTTACAGTGTCACAAATGGCCCAAGACCAGACGTACCCTGTCGTCCCGCTGAAGCCTCGACCCCACGACTTCCAGCGTCTCGGACATGAGACACAGCAGACTCCTAGTCCCAATGTTTATAACATCCAATTGTGCAGTTTCGCGCGACTTTGCAAAACCCAGCCTCACCTCAAACCCCAGGCCCAGGCATGCAGCTTGCATACAGATTTCTATCGCCTACAGAATCCTACAGACAAGCACTACCCTTTTGTCGGTCAAGCGATGCTTCCATGTTCCGGCGGTTTTGCCTGCTGGCGTGCCCTGCGACTTGGAGTTGCAATTTGAGCATACTCACCAAGCTTCGTCGTAGGTCCAAGTTCGTTGATCGTCTTCATTGATATGAAAGCTGTGCTAATGGCTGTAGTCAGTTTCAGAAGCAAAGATATCAGGGACTGCACTGTACCGCAGGCCAACGGCACAGGACACAGCTACTGGAATTATTTAGGGCCTATCATGTCGTCGCGGGCCGGGCTATCATTATTTCTAGCTCTTCAAGCCTGTCCGTACTAGTGACTAGCGGGGAATCGGTTCTGTCAGAACCTTGTTCCCGCTTGCTGGAACAAGGTGGTCGGTCAGTTTCCGCATTCTGGTGCTGCTGATTTCGGGTTTCACCATTTCGTGCCGGCTTAGTTTCTTTAGGCTTCCGGCCGTGGCCTGACCCGGGCGCAGCAGCCGAAAGCTTTGTTTGGATCTCGTTGGGTTCTACCTTGCATGCAATCATTGTGATCAGACTCTCCGCTTCCAATGGAGTCTTGTGGGTTATTTGCAAAGCTGGGTTTGTTATAGCATTGAGGAGTGCACACATTCCGTTCTGAAGCTTAAAGCTCTGACTGCAAGGCACTGCAAGGTAGGCTTACTTCGTAAGCATTAGGGCCGGAGGGGTGTAGAGGCGTCAGGTCCAACATTTTCAGTTGGGGCCTATTTACATGCTTTACAGCGAAGGACCGACCCCCTGAGCCAGCATAGATAGCTTCGACTCTGCGAAATCCTTATCCACACCGCTGCCAGAATCTTGACCTCTGTAATTAGAGCACAAAGGTTGTTCCCCGACGTTTTCGCCAAGATCAATGCGGCACATCACTGTCCTAGTTCTAAGTATCGGTCTGCTAGGCCTAGCTCCCAAGCAACAGCTACAGAGCTTCCAAACTGGTGGGCTAGCACCACAAAACAACGAGGCCCTCTGGCTGCAGTCCACGAGTTATGATAAGATTATTTCCGGGTATCTTTGGGACAGGTAGGCTCCTGCCGCGTAGCAATGCACGGATGCAGAGTCCTGCAAAGACGTCGAAGTTGGGTTCGACGAGGTTCTCGAAAGTGAGTTCCAGGGTCGACTTCCCAGGCGGTGTCCTCTGCCGCGGTGACCTTTGCAGATTTGGATGCTGTGCCCTGGCCTGTGCTTGGCCCATGCTCAGAATGCATCCTACAAAAGCTGAGGCTTATAGCCCATGGGGACAAACGGCTTTGTTTACTGTAACGCAACGTAATGCGAAACTTCTATCTGCTGAGTTCTTGGACTCTTGAAAGCTACATGTCGCAGGACTCTGAAGAAGCCTTGCGATTGAGCCCAGCAAGTGCACCTGGCCCCTTTCGGCGGTAAACGATCCCTCCCCCACTGTTCGGCCATGAGGTTCCTCGCTCGGAGTCACTCTCGGACAGTTTCAAGGCAGGCATTTTGTGATGGGCTCGGAAAGTGGGGGCTCAGCTAAGCAACACTGCAAGTGACTGCATTGATGGCTGCAGCTGCTTTCGCTGAGCGGCCTTGGGAATTTCTCTGCTTGGAAGCAGTTCCCATAGAAACCGTGTACCGGCTTGATTGCATTTCCTCTCCTTTGCGAGGTCTCTCTGGTTCGTCCAGAGGGGGAGCCGGCAAACTCTGGGCAGCTGCTTTGGCTGCCAGTTCGGTTAACTTACCTCGGCAGTAAGTGTTATCGTCGTATACACTTTCAGGGTTCATCTCCAGACGAGCCTCAAGAGCCTCAAGGGCAAAGCCTTTGCAGGGTTGGCGCTTGATACTGCGGTCATTGAGGTTTGCCATTGTTCTCCTTCAAGATGTGTCATGGAAAGCCATCCGCTCAAGAAAGCTTTGAGTCTGTTGCTTGTAGAAGATAGCCTGATCGAGGAAGACGATCGTGGAACAAGCCAGCCAGCAGCTGCTCAGTGGCCCGGCGGCACAGCTGAATGTTGACATGCAGGTTTCTTGAGCATCATCCGGATTTGCGCTAGTTGTCGAGAAGCGTGCCTTCGAGCGAAGGTAAAGTCTGTTACCAGTTCAGAAAGCTTTCGCCCTGATGTATGAACTCACACGAACGCGAAATCAGTCGTCGAAGATTTGTCCGGCCCGCAGGTGATGAAGAGCGGCAAACTTTGGATGACTACGATGCCATCTTCGAAAAATACTCTCTCTTCTGCAATGGCAGGCTTGGGTCGATTGCATGGAAGTTCACTGCGGGAGAACAACTACTGCAGATGTTTCATGCTCAAGAATGCGTTTCCCAAGCACAGCAGAAGCCATTAGCCCCGTAAATGCTTGTTAGCTAGCATGACCTGCCTGAGTTATGTGCGAGTGCCAGCGCAGCGTTCTTCTTTGCGGCTAACCACCCCGCTCTTGAACTGTATGGTACCGTGCAGCCTCCTGTCGACTGTTCCTGTCAGGTGGCTGGGTGTCCAGGTTCTCCAAGACTCCCAGGACCTCTTGTACTTGCAGCACATAGTGTGGCTCGACGCCAGCCGGAGAGGCGTTTTTGAGAAGAGATACTGTGAAGGGTCGAAAAACTTGGCCGCAAGCTGTAGAAATGTCATGCTGCCACACCAGGTCGTAGACCAGCCGAGGCGTCGATGACATTTGCATCGAGTTAGGGTCAGAGGGGTCAGAGAGAGACAGGGAGAGAGAAGCAGAGGCAACTCCCCAGGGCTGCGTGGCGAAAGAAAGAGACACAGAGCGAGAGAGAGGGATAGAGAGAGCGAGAAGGAAGCGAAGAGCACTTTTTCGAGGAGTGTCTGAATTTCCGCATCTCGCCACCACTCGGCCCAGGTATATGAAGAAGCCTGATGTCATCATCGAAACGGGCACGTACAAGGGTGGGCTGACATACTTCTTTGAAGCTTCGCAGCAGCGCAGTCAAGGTCGGTCAGGCTATTGAAATGATTGGGTTCGATCACGGGTTGCATATAACCGATTCGTTGAACTGAAGTATCTGCTGTTCGTCACACTTGTCGAACTCATCTTAGGGAAGGGCTGGTTGTGGAGGTATATACTTTCTTCGTTTCCTCGCAGTAGGTGAAGCAAGAAGTGTGTGGCTCAAGTCATCCCCAAGTATGCATGTACATTTGTGTATATACATATATACACATGTACATCTGTTTATGTATGCATACGTACGTTTGCATGCCTGCCTATACGCATGTATGCATTAATCAGCGTTCGTTTGTAAAGTGCGTCGACTGTATACCAGAGAGACAGAGAGATAGAGAGCTGCGCTGGATGCACGGGGTAAGAGGCCACGTCTGCCTTGCCCTAAGCCCGCAGCACGCAAGCAGGAGCGAGAGAGACAGAGAGAGCGAGAGAGAGAGAGAGAGAGATATATATATATATATATATGTACATACATACATACACGTAAAATTACGTATACACACATGTATGTATGCATATATATATATATATTTATTTATTTACTTATTTAAAAAGATGAAAATAAATAGAGAGAGAGAGAGACACAGAGAGAAAGAGACAGAAAGGGAGAGAGGCGGAGAGGGAGGGAGCGAGAGAGAGAGAGGGAGAGAGAGAGAGAGAGAGAGAGAGAGAGCGAGCGACAGGCGAGAGGGACATCTGTTTCTTTTTGTTTTTTGTGTATGTGTGTGCGTGTGTGTGTGTGTGTGTGTGTGTGTTTTGTGGGTGTGTGTGTGTGTGTGTACTTGTGCACGTTTAACTGGCAGTGAGGCAACGATCCTAGACTGGATCCAGCGAGAGGAGGAGACGGACAGACCCAGCTACGTTCTGTCAGCACCGCGGCTGGTATCATTGCGCTTATACCTTGCCACTTTACACCCTGGACTTCCGTTCAGGTGTTGAAATGTCGACGACTGCGCTGCATGTGCCGCCTTTCGGTTCCAATGCAGCACATCATTTGACATGCACTGCACACCCCTAAGGCCGGTCGTCATCTACAAACCACGTAGTTCAACCGAGCAGGGCACCCGGGCTGTCAACACATCCTGAAGTGGAAAGCTCAACCAGTATGTCTCCCGGTTTACAGTACAATGTCAAGCGAAGACAATCTGCAGCCCCAGGCTTCAAACATGCCTGGAGCTCAATCCGGACGCAAGGAATTGATCGCGAGACTCACTCGGAAAGAACGAATCGATTCTACTACACCGTGACCAGAACTGCAACTTCCTGCAAACAACCCCTCATGCTGTGAATCCTAGGTGGATCGACATCATCCCGACTTAGCTGCTTAAGCTGAAAAGGTGGGGACGTGTTGAGACAGATCTTCGGAGCATTTGTCTTGCAGAGACGATGTCCGGCTGATGAAGTGCCATCGGGATGTTTCATGGAGCGTACTGGTTGTGAAAGTAACGGCGTGAGAAAGGTGAAGTTCCCATGCTGGTCGTAGACCTCTGGGTACATTGCCTCGAACCACTCGGAGCCCCATCCAGACCTCCTTAAGCTTGCCACGATGCCAGTGAGTCTATCCGAGGTTTTTGCTGCGAACTGGTTCTGCCCACCCTGCGCTGACTGCGTACGTAGCTACACAACGCCAGTTTGGGGACGGAAGGTCCGCGCCCGAAGTTGTGTTTTGATCTGATTCTGTAGCTTTTGTTTTTGCTTGAGCCGACATTTGGGCAAGAGTTTCGGCTTGCATACAACACACGACATGGGTTAGGGTGACAAAACTCAGGTGGCGGAGGGCGAATCCAGGTACAGACTTGAGTAGGTTTGGCAAATTTTGTTTCTTGAGAAAAGCTTGTTGTCTGCACAGGCCGAAAGATAGTACAGGCATCGTGCAGAAGGAAATACTGGTGCACATTTCTCAAACGATTCAGCCGACAGCATGGTGCCGTGAGCTATTAGCTAGCTATAAGCAGTAGTGCACCCTAAACTGCACAAGCGTGTCCCTCAAGCTCCGTAGTGTGGCGCGTGGCCCTGCGAATCTGTTCTTATCCTGTTGTTTTTTGCCGCAGCCGAAGTCGACATTGAGCGATGTTGGTCGAAATATTTGCATCCATCTGCATAGAGATTGTATCTGGCCGAGCAAAATGAGAAGCCGTCGAAGGCGTGGTGAATGCCTCATGAAGTAGAGACAGCGCCGGTCTGAAGCCTTACAGCAGTGCCAGGTTGCCTCCACGCAAGGCGCCCGACAATCCATTTCTAAACGTCTCGAGCTCTCTCCAAAGCCAGACTTTGCAAGTACTAACAGAGCCTAATGCACTCTGCGGCAGCTTGCAGGTCCGCTTCATACAGGGCCTGGCTGATTCCCAGGAGGGGATGCGTTGGTACAGCCCGAAAGGGAAGAAGGGTGGGTCGAGAGTTGTTTGTACTTGAGATCCTTGCGAGAGGCGGAGTGTGGGGTCAAGGGATGACAGTCTGCATTCCCAATCCCCAACCCGGTGAAGGTGGAGACAACGACAACCAGGATGTCGGCCCTTGCAAAGTCTCGAATCAATTGAGCATACTCAGCAACTACTTTCCTGTCCTCTGGGTAGAGTTCGGTTACCTCCTAGATCATGACCGGATGTAGGTGTTGCTATGCGACTTCCTGCCCGAAAGTCAACTGCCCATGAGCATGTTTACGCATGCGCACACATACTTGCATAAGCATACATATATACATACATGCACAAGCACAGACCCAAGTACATGCATGAATGCATACACACAGACACAGACAGCTAGACAGATTGACAGACAGACACGCAAACCGATTGACAGACGGGCGTACAAGCGTAAGTGCAGACGCACATACAACATACATACTTTCATAGATACGCACATACATACATGCACACATACATACATACATACATACATACATACATACATACATACATACATACCTTCATACATACATACATACATGCATACATACATACGTACATACATACATAGATACATACATACGTACATACGTACATGCATACCTACCTAC